AGGCCAGGGAGGGCAAGGTAGGGTTCTGTTTCCTGACTGTGTCCTGCATCTTTCACCTCACGGTCACTGGCTGCCTGGGGAACCATCTTGAAGTCAAACCAGAGGCCATTCTTTTAGACAAGGCCAGTGATTCAAAAGAGTGGTAAAAAGTCCACCCTAAGTCCTAAGAGGATGCTGAAGTACCTGCCTGTCTGCTGGAGGCCTTGGGCTGGTGGCACCCACCCCTTCCAAAGGGAAAGGGCATTGCCAGCCAAGGACTTCTGCCTCTTTTAGACAAGGCCAGTGATTCAAAAGAGTGGTAAAAAGTCCATCCTAAGTCCTAAGAGGATGCTGAAGTGCCTTCCTGTCTGCTGGAGGCCTTAGGCTGGTAGCACCCACCCCTTCCAAAGGGAAAGGGCATTGCCAGCCAAGGACTTCTGCCTCTCCAAAGTCCCAACATCCCTGTGACTTATTTTCCCCATGCCTTTAGATTATCAATTAACACAGGATGTCATGTGAGACACAGTGTCCTAGTTCAGGGTTGGCTGTGCTGTACCACACTGGACCTGGGAAAGCTCACCATACAGCTGGGTGCAAACCAGTACTACTTGAGCTTCACTTTCTGGGTCCAGACCAGCCTCCCCGACCTTTTCTCATACCTTCCCCATTTGCTGGGGCAGAGGAGTGCCATCACACTGTGGCCAGGAGTATCTGCTTGCTCTTGCATTTGGGCTGCATGGGGCCTGGTCCCTGTGCTGTGCTCAGCTCATAGCTGCACTCTAATATACCAGCTCACTGCTATGCTGGGGTTTTCTAGGAAGAGTTCCAGGCAAAAAAGCAGAGATGGGGTCAATACATACACCTGTTTCTGGAAGAATGGGTACCAAAGCAAAGGACCACTGCCAGGAACCAGTGGACTCTTGTAGGGTGTATTCCAGAATGCTGATGAGCCCAAGGGTCATACTCCCCAGGCTGGAAGCTAAAGAAACTCACGTGTGAGACAAAGAGTAGGCTAGACTCAAGGATGGCTGTGCTGTACCATGCTGGACACAGTCCAGGTCTGTTGGTTCTAGAGCCCTTAGCAACAGCTGGCCCTGTCCCATACTTCTCACAGTGCCACCTGAGAGGAAAGCTGTATAATGATAAGTGTGCCTTCCTTCCTGCATACTTGTCTAATGGACTTAACCCTGCTTGTCACAGCTGAGTCCCAGACATATGAGCATGGCTTCCAGGGCCTTTGTGCCACTCATATACCATTGGTGCAAAAAGCCACCGGCCTAAAGAGCTTTGCCCTCTGCCATGGGTGCCCTATCTACTCTGGTGTGCCTCATGGCCTCTGTCTGAGGTAAGAATCCCAGGTAAAACAAATTCTGGTTCTGCAGTGACCCCCAAATCCTACTGAAACTTAAACTCAAAAGTCTCCTTTACGCAGACCCAGTGGGTAGACCAGAAGGCTCCTGGGCTCCCTGTCCAGAGTGCCCTTTGGCCTGGCAGGACAGGAGAGTTAGCCTCACAAAGCCAGGCCAGAAGCCAGCTACATCGTAGCTCTTCACTTCTGGGTGAAAATGGCTACTTTGCCAGAGTATCCTGAGTTGCCATTAAAGAAGCTCTGGATACCACCTGCACCACTAACCTCAACAGGTCAGGGAACCAAGGCCCTGGAGGAAAGGGCTGTCCCGTGGTGAGGCTGTGGTGGGCCCTCCTATCTTGGCTGGAAGAAACGAGTGAAGAAATGCTGGGGTGCTAGAGGACTCAACAGCAGCTGTAGTGAGGATGAGCTAAAATGAGCCATTTCCCTTTTCAGTTTCTGCCAGGCAAAGTTTTTGTGCTATTTTCTTTTAATTCAGAAATTTCCAGAACCACTCTGTATAATTTACTTGGGTCTAGGTCATTAAAAAAAAAAAAAAAAAAAAAAAGAGCTGGTGGGGTTAAGGCTTTAAGTCTGGAGTAATTTCACCCACAGTTTAATCTGGTTACATCAACTTTTGAGTCATTTTTTTTCTTTTTTCTTTTTCTCCCAGTGCTGGGGATTAATCCTAGGGCTTCATTCATAGCTAGGCAAGTGTTTTTACTGTTGAGCCATAATCCCAGCTCCTTTTTTTGTTTGTTTGTTTTGTTTTGTGATATGGTCTCCCCATATTGCCTTGGAACCTCACAGATCCTCTTGCCTCCCAATGTTTTGTGACATGGTCTCCCCATATTGCCTTGGAACCTCACAGATCCTCTTGCCTCCCAAATCTTGAGATTAAAGGCACATGTCAGCATGTTCTTCCCCTTTTAAATCCTTTAAAAAAAATGTAGGAAGAAGACCTCTGGAACACATACCCTGTCTCAAAAAAGAAAAGGAAGAAAAAGAGTAAAAAAGAAAACGAGTATGGGAAGAACCTGTCAAGGCGGGCAGGGGCAGCAGGCTCTGCCTGACCCGGGCCATTGGCATCTTCCTCCTAGGCCAGCTCAAGGGCCCGGTTTCCTCCCTATAGCACTGGATGGGACAGACAGCTTCTTTGCTAGCTAGCTATACTTTCAGGTATAGGGATGGCTCCTGCTTCCAAGATGATCAGGATATGGAGGGGATGGTGAGGCTGGGGAAGCTCCTGAACAACAAATTTTGTTCCTAGGAACTTGCTAGTTGACTACGTGAACTAAATATGTGGAAGAAAAGAATGACTTAAATATAAGGAAAGGTAAAGAGGCTGACCATGTAGAAAGAGCCTTGCTATGTGGCCCCAGCTGACTCTGAATTCACGACTCTCCGAGTGCTAGGAACATAGGTGTGCCACAGTTGCTGCTTTAACTTTAATACCACTGTTGAACATGTCATTATCCAGTGGGCTGCCCTTGGAGCACATGTGACTTACCAACGACTGGTATACCTCAGCTTGCCAATGGGGCCACGAGCATCAACACCCTAACCCAAGAGAGGACACACCCAGGCACAACTTTGATAGGATCAGGGTCTCTAGAGGTGGCCTCTCCCTCTTCTGACCCAGTACCATCAGGCCCGAAGTTCAAGCCAGTCAGGGTGTTTGCCAGGAGAGAGGACAGTGCAGTGGGGTCATGTGATACCTTTGGTGGGACAGCTGTCATACCTTTTCTGTCTGTCTCAGTAGCATGGACCAGTAAGATGTCTCCTGAACCTCCACGAACATCTGGCCCATCATCACCCTGGAGTAAAAAGAGCATGAGGCAAGGCTGAGGTGACAAACACAGCATGCTTTGGGGACCCTGAGTCCTTTCCTTCTGTTCTCCTTGGTCCAGCAACAGCACTGTGTACACCAGACAGCCTCTGCAGCCCCCTGCTGCCACGGACTTAGTAGATGGGCACTGGTCAGAACTCTTGTAGGAAACCAGCACTGAGAAAGCTGTCCAGATGCTGTGGGCACCAGGGCATGTCACCTTCCAGAGGACATGTGGGGTCAGGGCACTATGGCTTCAACCCCACCTTTACCTCCTGGCTCATACTGAAAGGTGAGATCCCAGAGAAGAGAGACAGGCCCTTAGCCTGGGTGACAGGAAGCCACCTTTGGGCTTAGGCCTGTCTTGAGTAGAAGCAGGTTCATCTGTGGTCATGTGCCCTGCAGGTTGTTCAGGGAAGGACTTCACTAGAAGAGCACAAAATATAACAAGACTGCTCATGCCACTGGATGTGCCCATGGCCACCAAACCTAGCCTGATAGTGGGAGACCAACTCTATTTCCACAGGCAAACAAGCTCCAATTTGCTGTAGCGACAGAGCTGTAGGTGGGGTTGGGAACTGAACCGAGATTACTCTGAGAGAGGCAGAGCCAATATCCCATCTGTACATCCCATGGATACCTAACTTTGCTGTTCCCACCTGGACTCCAGAGTTCTGGGTGTTCTGGGCTTCCCACCTGGGACAAGGTTGGCTATGTTCCCGACCTGACTTTCTAGAAGCCATTTAGCTCTTCCTGCAGAGGCTCTGCCTAGACTCTACTGGCCCTGCCAGCATCCTGATGGCCTCAGTGCTGACGTCTTCCTGGGTTGCTAGGAAGCCACTGAGGCTTGCCCAGGAACATGCACAGAGCAGCCCCTGTTCTCTGTATGTTGTAACCATCAAAAACAGTTCCCAGATGCACAGCTACTCAGGGGCTGAGATGTCCCATGGAACCCTATGTTTCTAGCACAGTACAGAGAAGAGACAAGGCTTCTGGGCTAGCTTCTTCCTCTTTCATGAAATGTCTGGGTGTTGTTCTTATCAATGGGGCTCCTCAAACAAGGCCCAGCTCAGAGTCCAGGCCCCAGTTTTCTTAACAGGCAGAGACCAGAGGAGGTAGAGGGGCTATGTTATCCACAGCATATACATGCCTCACACTGCTTAGGGCTTCCCATGCAGGCTACACTGAGCACTGCTGGGTGTTTCTTTTGCATTGCCCTCAGAAGCGCCTGCATGAGGCTCAGAGAGATTTTGAAAGGCTCAAGTTCACTTTTGGGAAATAGCAAGAAAGGGACTGTGAGCTTCTCCCAGAACCCTTTTTAGCTGGGAGCCCAAGAGTCCAGGTGCTGTCTGACTCAGGTCTCTCTGCTGGAGTACCCAAGGCCACATTTCTCTCTCTTCCTCTCCCTCTTGCTTGGTGACTATAAGATCCAGCCTGGGGAATCCTTACCTCTTGCTTGAGTGTCAGCCTGGACATAATTTCATTGTGATCAATGAGGGACAGTTCATCCACTTCCTCTTCTGACTGGGCTGACTCCAGAGCATCCAGTGACTTTGGGGACCTGGGAGAAGTGGTTGGTGGTGAGAGTGTCAGACATGGCCTGGGTTCCCCAGTCCCTGGAGGCCTGTAGGCTGAGGCAATCCAGGTGATGGTTAATCTTAATTGTCAACTTCATGAGACCTAGAGGAGTCAGGCTTCTGTGCATGCCTGCTTAGGTGAGGTGAGGTGGGAGGACCCACTCACTGTGGGTGGCACCATTCCCTGGGCTGGGGCCCTGGACTGTCTGAAAAAGAGCTGAGCACCAGCATTCATTGCTCTGCTTCTTGACAGTGGATGCAGTGTCAGCTGCCTCAAGTTCCTGATGCTGTGACTTCCCTATCACTATGGACTGTAACACTGAACTCTGAGCCAAAACAAACCCTTTCTCCCTTAAGTTACTGTTATCACAATAACAGAAAAAGTAACTAAGGTGTCTGCCTACACATAGGTCAGAGTGTATGAGCTGCTCATGGACAAGCCCTGAGTGGCAACTATAATATGAAGTTGGAGTGGTGGGCAGAGCCAGAGTGACAGCTAGCCTCCTGGCTCTTCCTGGAGACACTTCTGTTCTCTGGAAGTCTCTTGTGCAAATGGGAAGGACTAGGCTGTTGAGTGAAAACGGTCCTCTGTGCTCTCTTGTGAAGGTGTTAGTTGGTCCAGCTGTATCACATACATACAAGGGCAGCACTTGAAGGGAAGAGCAGTAAGAGGGCTGCAAGAAACAAACTCCATGTTCCTCCATGCCATCCCCAAGCCCTTTCCCAGGGGCCCAACTCTGCAGACCTTCTGCTGAACAGTAAGAAAATGCTGTGACCCAGTAGATGTGGCCCCATGTCATCAGGTGCTCAGTCTCCTAAGAGATGGCTTTTAAAACAGGCGGCCATGGCACTGGAGCAAGAGGGAAGGCCAGACTTAAAGCACTGAATAGCATTTGCTCAAAGGAAGAGATGAGATTTCTCTGGTGTGGGCAGCTAATGGCATTTAAAGAAGATTGTCAGGGCCACTGGCCAGCCTTGGGGTTGTCACAGGACACTACCCTCACCTCAACAACATTAATCACATCTTAATTTATCTTGTGTGGGTGTTCATGCACACACGTCACAGTGCATGTGTGATGGTCAGAGGATAAAGTGTGAGAATCAGTTTTTCCTTCCAGTACTCGGTCCCAGGGACCCACCATGGCAGCAGTGACCTTATCCACTGAGTCCCTTGCTCAGCCCTCAGGGCACATTTTCTCTTCAGCCAAGCTGCAAGAATCTCTGTCTCAGTAAGAATGTGAATGACTAGGGCTTGGAGAGAGCCATGCTTGCTGCTGCCTTAGAAGGCCAGCCAGTGGTGTGGCCTTTATGCAAGGGAGGCAATGTCTCAAGAGCTCTTTCTGATCACAGTGTGCTCATCTTTCTGCCATTCCACCATCAGAAGTCTGTTGAGCTACAAGAATAGCTCTTGGGAAGAGTCCTCCCTCAGGAGATGGGTAACCTGAACATCTGACTGTAACACCTGACTCCAGTGAAGCAGGTGACAGACTGACTGCACAGGCTGCTTTTGCTTGGCACATACAAGCCTTTCTTGCCAAGCTTATACTAGAAAACCCACCACTGCTTCTAACACCTGTGGGAAATTTCGTCTGGGGGAGTCAGCAGACAGATTTATGGCAGTGAGAACCCAAGAGTGGCTAGAATGAGGTGGGCAGGTGGCCTGTCCAAACTGCTTGCAGGTCTTTGCCTCTCTTCCCGAGCCCCTTGCCTGCCATTGACAAGTGGGCCATGCTTTGCTGTGCTAAATCGATGAGGCCTCAGGTGACATAAGACAAGGAAAAGCCTGAGCAGCTGCTGCATCTCATGAGGAAGGTGACATCAACATTAAGCAGCAGAGGGTGCTCACTGGCAGCACCTTCAGACTGCACTAAGTGGTTCCAGGGAACAAGCCACCCATCTGCAAGACTAACTTCCACTGAGAAGGAGTGAAGAGACAAGGTATCTAAAGGCACCACAAGGCCTGGGTTATAAAAACCAAAAGTTATATAAGATCCCCAAGGAGAGGCTGGCACTGTAGCTCAGTTACAGTAGTTTTCTGGCATGTATGAGGCCTTAGGTTCTCCCTGGGGTGAAGGTATCGGGAAGGCAGGAGAGACTGATCAATTTCCAAGTTTGCTTTCCAGGTGACATGAGGGAACCTTTTCTGTCTCTGGTGCAGCAATGACATTGTGATCGCTATTTCCACTTGTCAAGAGAGGGAGCCAAGGGTCATAATACCTGTAACCCACTTTCAAAATGGTTTAGCTACACAATACATGTTTATGACTAGAAATGCTCATAATGACAAATTCGTGGATGGGAAGGTCTTTTATACTTCCTATGTGATCTCCAGTTGGAAGAAACCAAAATCAAGGAAGGCGGGGCTGAGGCTTGAGACAGAAAAGGGGCCCAGAGTGGGTATGGGACAGCAGACAGCACAGGTGTGATCAGGAAGGCATGCTGACTGCTGTGAAAGCCTTTGAAGGGTAGGTTATTAGTGATCTTTGTTTCCTTGTAGTTTCTGCCCTGAACACAGACAATTTTGAGAGTCAGAAAAATAAAGAGCCTCAGCACAGGTGGCCTCACTGAGTGACACTGCTCTTGGGGCCTGGATACTCCCTGCTCATTTCTTACCTCTCTCCATTTTCTCTACTGTCCTTCCCAGATGCACTGTTGACTGAAGGATCTCTGAGATGTCCGTCCTTCCCGGATGGTGGTTCCTGCAAAGAGAAGGAATGGTGGGGTTGGACAGACAGCCCATACTGGGGTGGTCTGTCTTCTCTGTACTCCTGCTGCAAGAGTGGCCGAGTGCAAGTGCCTATGGAGCAGCTGGAGGTGGGAACAAGCCAATGGTGCACGGGGTTGATTACCATGGGGTCACCCTCTGGAGACCAACACCTGCCTTTGGAGACAGTGGAGGTGCCACTCCTTCTAACATCTATCACTTGTCAACCTGGGTATAGATACCTTACCCACTTCCTGAAGGGAGTCCCAGGAACTCTTCTCTGAGTACGGAAGTGGGGGGAGTGGGACGGGGGACGGGATGGATGTGGGACTGGACCGAGTGCTCTGCACACCTCTCCTCCTTCACTATTTTTCCTCTGTCCCCTACAGAAACTGCTGAGGGACAACACACAGCTGCTAAGTGGCAGTCGGCAGACCTCACCCCTTTGGGGTTGTCTGCCTTCAAAGCTTATATTCTTCACCACTACACCCAAACTCCCCTGACCCTCTACAGAGTCTTCAGAGTCGTGATTCTTAACCAGTGATAGTTTCAAAGAGTCCAGTTGCTCAAACACACAAATGTGAATTGCCTTGAGCAGACTAGCTGCCTCCATACCCAGGGTCGATACAATTCCACAATGTCCCTGGGCTGTCATGAGTGGTGGTGAAGTGAGTGAGGCCTTGGGAATACGGGGACCATTACCAGAGAGAGTACACCACAGTGAGGCTGGGCACAGACTCCAAGTATACTCTGAGGTGGATGATGCTATGACACAGGTAACCAGTGGGGATACTGGTTCAGCTCTCACAGAGCCAAATTTCACAGCAGGGACAGCTCCTTATCTTGTCCTGATGTCTAGGGGTGGTGGTGGTGTCTTGGCAGAGACAACTAAAAGCCCCAGGGAATCACGGCATGACTATTCCTAGTAGAGGGCCACGATATTCAGGCTGGGCTTGCCAGTGCCGGGATCCCTGGTGGAGATTCTGGTCCTTGAAGACCTGACCTCATTCTCTAGAGGACCTTTGGTCTCCTAGGGTCAGCGACCTCTGAAGCATTTCAATTTGCCTGTTTCGCTAAAGCCAAACTTGGAAAGCCTCCTGCTTCGCAGAAGCCTTGCACCTTGAAGCCACACACTGGGCAGCAGCATAATGCAGGCATGGACTTCAAGGATTCTGTTCTTAGGAAGGATAAGTGTGGATATCCATCACTTGCCCTACTTTTTTTTTTTTTTTTTTTTTTTTTTTTTTGAGTAGCTGAGGGCAGTGAAGCATGCTGGGAAGATCTGAAGGGCAGGAGTAAAATTTCTCTTGGAAGAGGGAGATCAGCATTAGAGGGATGATGGGAAGAAATTCCAGCGAGCATCTGGGGCTGTGGCCAGAGTCCACACCAGTGGCTTCTGGAGAGTTCTAGAAGACTCGTCCTGACAGGCTCTGAAAAGTGCTGCACTCATTGAAGCAGAAGCAGGGCAGACCTCTACCGGAAGCCATAATCCATAGGATGGGCTGGCTTCCAGCAGGCTTATGGAGACTCAGCCAGTAGAAGCAGCTGCAGGGAAAGCCACCTCGAGGGGGGCAGTTGCCGGCCCATGCACAAGGCCACCCACCCGAGGTTACTTACTCCTCGAGAGGGAGCCAGCTCCTTGTTGGTCTGGCCAGAGGAGTACAGATTGACATAGTCACCCCCACCAACTTCCTCACTGGTGGCATTTTCACTCTAGGAGGAGACAGGATAAGAGGAAAGACAATGGGACAGGCCCTCTGGTCAGCCTCCACAGCTTAGAGAGGGCAGCTGCAGGGAGGGCAGGCCTGGGTTAGGAAGGCTGCTCCTTTCACAAGAAAGAAAAGGCCTGTGAGCTACCTCAGTTATCCCTGGAAGTGGTTCCCCAAGCAGAGGACAAAGCTGCTCTCACTATCTCTTGTCCCTGTGCTAGTTAGGGCCCAGTCTCTTGTTGGACCTTCTCCAAAGTGCTCAGAGCCATTCTGTAAACTCCCAGAAAGATGCTCCACTTGTAGCAGGGTCTGTGGGGGTCCCCAGTCTGTAGCAGGGCCTGTAGGAGTTCTCAGTACAGTGGGCATAAAGCAACATAATTGACAACTCAAGAATCTAGAAATGTCCTCACCCTCTTTGCCCCTCACCTGACCCCTCTGCTCTATAATGCAGCTCCTCCCTGTGTTCTGGTGAAGCACAGGGGCCCTTGCATCAGCCCCACAGGCAACCTTACCTCTGCCTCTTCTACTCCACAAGTCTGGACCTCTCTATAGATACATACCGGAAAGTTTGTAGAATTTTCTATCTTGTCCTTGTGACATTTCACTGTTCTAAACGGTCACTAGTCCAATACCCAGCATGATGGGAATTCTATGTAAAAGATTTGGTCTCTGCTCTGGAAACAGGTGGAACAATACTACCCTTTGAGGCCCCCATAGCTGCCAATCCAGTCATGCTTTGAATGGGCTCACACCAGCAGCAGACTGGGCCAGACTGTGAGCAGCAGCATCATTTTTCTAAAAGCCTGCAGGCCTAAGTGCAGATGTGCACAGATGTGTATGTGCCGAGTTCTCACCGAGTCAGTGAAAGAGGTTTCGGAAGGAAGGCGGACAGGGTTCCCATGAAAGCTGCTGTCCTGAGAAGACGAGAGAGGCCCGTCCACGGTGCTGGGAGGTGGACTGCTTACGGTGGGCACCGCTAAGTCCGAGCTCTGGGACGAGTGGACAGGTGGGAAATGTGGAGAGGAAGAGGAGGTAGGCGGAAGGAAAGGTTGGACGGAGGCTTGGTGGTGAGGCATGAAGTCCTGGGAGTAAGACCTAAACACAGATTTGTACTACAGAACCCAGGCAGAAAACACACAACAAGAATGTGGGAAGGAGAAAACAGACAAGAGAAAAGGTGGTTAGGTTAGCCGTGGTTCAGCACTGATGACCTGTTCTATCTTTTGCTAGTCAGGAGCTGTCAGCCATGCAGACACGCCCCTTACAGACTTGTGTGCCTACACTGCTTTCAGAAGGCTTGTCACTGACCAGCACCATCTGAACAGCAGGGTGTAGACAATGGATTCCTTGTGTCCAAGAACAGGACATCCCACTCACCATGCTGATGATCACACGTCCATTGAGGTGGAAAGGGAACCTCTACCACCCTACCTCTCAGGGACCCCAGGGCTAAACTCTAAGTCACAGGCATTTACTCATTTGGAATCTTTTGGATGACTCTCTAGCTTATTCCTTAAAAGGCAAACATAGTATCTTTTAAATACTTTAATGAGCCTCAGAACCTGCTCCTTTTGTTTGTTTTCCAAGACAGAGTTTCTCTGTGTAGCCCTGGCTGTCCTGGAACTCACTCTGTAGACCAGGCTGGTCTCGAACTCAGAGATCCACCTGCTTCTGCCCTCCAAGTGCTGGGATTAAAGGTGTGCACCACTGCTGCCCGGCTATCTCAGTCCTTTTAGAAAAGGGCACAAGCCTCAAAACTGACTGGAGGAGTTGCACCACACAAACACTAATGGTCCCTCTGACCTCATTTTCCTCCTCACTCTTGCTCTTTGCATCGTTAACAAATGCAGTGATTCTACAACCCTTCTGATGTCACCCCAGAGCCACAGGCATGACCTGACTCCTCCAACTTCTCATTTGACAGAAAAGTCAGATGTCAGACTGAGAGGTGACTACAAGTCCTCACAGCTTCTGAGGCCCCAGGAGCAAGCCTTAAGTCCCCAAGCTGGGGATCTGACTACCAAGCTGAGGAGTATGGAGTGTATAAAGTCATCATGCCTGGTAGAGGCTTGCTGTCAATGCTGCTAACCACCACAGGACCTGGGAGAACAGTGTGAGGAGGATACTGTCAGGGTGGGTACTGTTGGCCTCATGTATCTACCACAGGCACCAAATGAAACATGCATACAGCTTACTCGAGTGCTATGTACATTCTCTGTGGTGTAGGATTTTCAGAACCCACTGGGGGAATTAAGAAAAAGGAGTAAGAAATGAAGTTTTAACTTTAGGAGATGTTAGGGTTTTGGTGGTGCATTCCTTTAATTCCAGCACTCAGAAGGCAGAGGCAGGAAGATCTCTTTGAGTTTGAGGCCAGCCTGGTCTACAGAGTGAGTTCCAGGACAGCCAAGGCTACACAGAGAAACCCTGTCTCAAAAAACAACAACAGACTCACAGAAATCTGTCTGCCACTGACTCCCAAGTTCTGGGATTAAAGGTATGAGTCACCAGGCCTGGTTACTGCTGAGCCATTTTGTCAGCCCTCAGTATAATTTTCTTTTTGAGACAGGGTCTGGCTATATAGATCAGGTTGGCCTCAAATTTGTAATCTAATCTCAGCCTCCCGAGTGCTGGGACTACAGCTGTGTACCACTGCACCCAGATACCGTTTTTTTTTTTTTTAAATAGTTGCATGCTTTTCTTTTTCTTTTTTTGGGGGTGGGGTGGGGTTTGAGACAGGGCTTCTCTGTGGCTTTGGAGGCCGTCCTGAAACTCACTCTGTAGACCAGGCTGGCCTTGAACTCACAGAGATCTGCCTGCCTCTGCCTCCCAAGTGCTGGGATTAAAGGTGTGCACCGCCACCAACGCCCGGCCAATTTTCTTTTTCTTTTTTGAGATTTATTTATTTTATGTGTATGAGTGTTTGCTCCAGAGGCCAGATGGGGCATTGGATCCCCTATGACTGGAGTTATGGACAGTTGTGAGTTGTCAAGTGGGCACTGGGAATCCAACCCAGGTCCCCTGCAGGAGCAAATGCTCTTAACTGATGAGTCATCACTTGTAGCTCCTGTTTTTATTTTATTGAGAAAGGATCCCTTGATATGCTGCTCAGGCTAGACTGGAACTTACAATCCTCCAGCCTCAACCTCCCAATTAGCTGGGGTCACACATTGACTGATTTTATTATTAATTAAGGTATGCAGAACATTGCTAGAACCATAGCAGCAGCCCAGCTGTGAGTGGGAATAACTCAATGGAAAGAAGAGGCAAGAGCAGTCTGTATCTCTGG